TGTCTCCTTCCATTCATTTGTATGAGTGTCTTCTGCTTCTTTTTTCTCTCTGCTTGCACCTTCAAACATATAGCCATGTAATTTGAAAAAAAAAAAAAAATCCTAATCCACAACACAATTATCTAAGGATCCCACAAGGCTGTGTTCTCTTCCGTCTCCATGCCTTCTCTCAGAAATGTCCCTGGTAAATGTAAACTATGCTTTCATGCTGACAACACATACCATTCACTTCCCATTCAAAACTATCTCCCTTCCAACAAAACCAAATCTCAGCATCTAACAATCTCTCAGACTTCTAGAAGTCAGCTCAAGGTCAGAGTTCCTACCACCCTCTCCCATCCAAAAGCCCTCCTTTAATTAGCAGTTTTGTTACTATCCACCCCACAGTCATTTAGATCCCTAACCCAAACAAGCTTTAAACTTATTTTTCCCTACACTGACCTCCCTCATCCACAGTTTGAATAACCCTTGTCGATTTGTTCTGCAAAATAACTGACAAATCTCAGACTCCTATCACCTTGCACTTCTGTTATTTCAATACACTTCTCTGGCCTAGGACAAAACAAAAAAACACCCACACAGACTCATCCTGGTCACATCTACACAGAATGTTTTTCCAAAGGACATTTAACTCGCCAGTTGAACCATGACACTGAGAAAGAAGGAAGCATACATATTTCAGATATTTATCCCTGCATTATGGGAATAAACTTGATTTTGCTTTCAAAAAAAGTTACTTCTAACCCCGCTGTATTGCCAGCTGAACCAAGATGCTAACTTCGACTGTTAATTCAGGAGCAGCAGTAGCCTCCACCACATACTGGCTAGGCTTTCAAGGAAGCACCTTGACACCTTTTCCTACATTAGGAAAAGCTTTCCATCCAACACTCTGCTTTATCATGACACATATAAAGAAATGTGACATTAGCTACACTACCTATGCACCAAAATCACTTACACTGACCAACTTGATCTTATTTCTTTATAATGAGGAAACATCAGTTTCCTCACATTTTATTTCTAATTGGAGCCAGCTCAAACAGATATATTTCCCTGATCCTACACACAAAAAATATTACTAATAAACAAAAAATGTAGATAACTCAAGTAACAAGGCAATTGCTGATCAAAAGGTAAGCATATCCCTCCCCCCCCCCC